TCGTGGTCACGACATACACGATAATCGCAGATGCTCTTGTGCCTCACTGCACCTGCACGTTTGTAAAATGAACCGAGCCAATGAAAGCACCCCTGTCACTGCTGCTGTGACAGAGCGTGCCAGCAGACCTAAACTAGGGCACAAGAATCTTTCTCACAGGCAGTGAGTGCCCTGCGGCTTTCCCAGCATTACTAAAGGCTGAGACACTTCCAGCACTTCAAGAAAATTACAGTTGTACAATTACCATGTCAGAGACCAAGACCCTGTTTCTGTGACACTGGACAGAAGTGAGTGCACAGGAAGCAAAGAGCAGGACGTGCATATAGCTACAATCCCACAATCCGACTCCTTAGCCTTCTATGGCTCAGGACTTAATATCATAATTATATCTTTATATCAATTTATATCTTTATATCTTTAGATCAATTTTTGTCTTGAGCTTGCCCAGTCTTTTTCTAAGGCTTGTCAAAGATTTTAGCATTCCTAACTCCTGGGTGAAAAGAGGAAAGAGATGTTCTCATTAGAGGCAGTATTTCCCAGTTCTGGGAAATAGATGCATATAAAATTATGCTTCCTCTGTAAAACTGAAAGACTCAAGAACCACTACCATCTACAAATCAGAAACAAGGATCTAACAGATTTTCATATGCCAGAACAGTTGCAAGCAGCTTGCTTATCCCAAAGAATAAATGTGCTCCTCTATTAGAGGTCATACCACTTGTCCTTGCTTCAGGACAGTGTCACAACCCACAAAGCACAGTGAAAAGAGGCACATAGTGATATCAGCATCATTAAGAAGTAAATCAAGTTTAAAGAGTGCCTCATTTAAAGGTCCACACTCAAGCCTCAACATGACCTTCTATTATTTTTGTTAAATGTGGGGCTCAGACATTTCTCCTTGGATGACTACCATGACCCCTCTCTACCAAAGCTATCTTTACATGGTTTAAAAAAACCCACTGCCTTAGGTCATGTTTATCCCCATCAGTTAAATTGATACAGGTAATTTTGCAAATATTCTTCACTTCTCTCATGTATGAAATGGAGTGTTGCATTGTATGGCTAATGCAAACATCCTCTTAGGAATATGCCATAAACCTAAGGACATTATTTATTTACCTATCCTATTCAGAAACAAACTTGCTTATAGATCTCTAGGTTAGATCCAAAACAGAAGTTAGGTACAGTTCAGATTCCAAAATGTCAATTTCCCTACAATACCCCCACAGTATTTCTATGTTTCTGCTGTTTGTTGCACAACTTTTTAAAACTACAACATTTCCAAAATAACCTGTGAGAAGTTCCTGATGCGTTTTCGGTGTTCACAATTTAGACAGCCCATAATTTTAAGTACATTTTAAGCATTCATAATGCTCTCAAAACTGAGGATATGTTGGTGCTGCCAGATGTTACTGTGATGGCACACTGAGGTTATTTACCTGGCATGCAAAAGAGCTGGAGCTCAAGCTATCCCACTTAAAAACGTCAATAAACCAAAAAAACCCCACCTAAATAGAGTTGAATTGTTAGGGCACAACAAGGGACTTCATTTTCAGTTACTATCACAACTCAGAATGACACAGAGATATCAGACTTGAACATGAAGATGTGTCCTGTTCTGATAAGCTGAAATGAGACTTTTCTTTCTCACTAGCTAACTTATCCCTCCCCTTTTTAAAAACAAATAAAAACTTTTTGGCTGAAAGTATCATTCTTGGATGTCCATCTCCTTGTACACTACGTGAGAACAAACCACAAATCTATAAATCATAATTCTGTTCTGCAGCAGAATTCCTCAAGTTAAGCCAGTTTATGACTGACTGCGAGCATTTAAGCCCTGCAGTTAGAATACTTGTGTTTTTATTAGTGTTTTCAAAATGAGGTGATAGGTCTTCTAACAGGAACATCAGCAAAATGTCAGGAGTCTTATGGGAATCCCATTAATATCTTCTGAACAGATGATTTAAATCATTATCTGGAAAACACAAGAAGTTTCACTTAGACTAATAGAAAACAGGACCTCTTGACATAATTACCTGTTTCTAGTGTACATGGACAAATTGTTCTAAGTATTATCAGCAGTTAAAAGTGTTTATCCTCTAATTGAGTGCTGCATATTGCATAATCCAAAAGCGTTTGACCATACTAAATATTTTATTAAAAAACCTTCTTTTAAGCTTAGTATCTCATAGACCAATCTAATAAAACTACAGCAACTACAGATTCAGTACTTCTATTTAACCTAGTACACAAGACTTCTGAGAAGCTTTCCAGCATTTTATAGCAGTTTTTTCAGTGTTCAGCAGACGTTACTCTATTTGCTAAACAATATCAGACTGCAAAATTACTCTTACTGTTGATAGATCAATAATGACACGGGAAAAGTCATTATCTCCGTGGCAACAGAGTGGCAACTGTTGGAGGAATATTGCGCATGCTGCTGAGCTCTGACAGCCATGCCTCGGCTTCCTCACGCTGCTGCTCTCTCTGCAAGCCTGGTATGCCCAGGGTACCAACAACCAAGGGCACCTCTTAGACTACAGAGGGTTAAACTACAGCTGTGCTGGTACATGATTTCTCAAAGATGTACTCACAAGGGTTTACTACACCCAAGCCTGATGTCTTTATGTTACTTCTTTTTAATGAACCATTCCTTTGGAGAAATAGCTAGGACAAAATTCAGGAAGGCAAATACACAGTATTCTGTTCATAGCCCAATATTTCGCTGCAAAAGATATCTTTCTTGTCAATCAATTTTTATTCAATTCCACTTTGACTCCTCAGGATCTAAAAGCGGCAGAAGTCTTTATACTTGATTAAAATGAGAAAAGAGACCACTTGGGATATTACATTTAACACTTGTTACGTCTTTGTATATTGAAACAGTCAAACAAATAGGAAAACATATTTTTGCTCTGCATAAGTTACTGCAGTTCCACCTAGCACGAACAGGACTTCTTTTTTTTCATACTGCACAACCTTCACCATGTTAATCACAACATATTAGCCACTGAAAGCAAACACTCCTCTGTGTCTTGATCACCATGGCTGAGTCTGGCTTGTGATGTTTTGTTAAAAGCAAACCATACCAACTCACAAAAAAACCCACGGTGCTCATCAGCAACATAACATACGAACTTTGCCTTCAGATTAAACATGGAAAGTATCTTCTGATAAATATATCTACTTTTAAACACCGCAGCAACACTGTACTTATTCATAACCTATTTACATGGGATGACAAAGGGCAAATTTGCAACAATTCCCGTCGGAATCTGTTCTTAATAAATTTAAACAAAAGGCAACAAAAGTGATCCTGAGGGTGGCATCAAAAAAATGAAAACAAAGTTGTCACTCAAGCATCAGCTGGATTCCACAAATAACAACAATTATGCAAGCACTCTTCTGAGTGCTGAAAATAAGCTGGTCTTGTTTACAAAGCTCTCACAAGAACAGAACCGGATGGTAAAAGTTCTTTTCCTAACAAATGTAAATGAGACATACCAAATAGAATTAATTATAAATATATTATATTACTTATATTATTATAATTATACATATATTACTTATAATTAATTATATTACAAATTAATATACCAGAAGTCCAGATGCTACACCTGCAATATAAATTAGCACTTAAAATACGCTGTGACTTATTTGTGACAGACTGTATTTTAGTACAGAGGATAACTCTTAAACATTTTCTTTTACTTACAGGACAGGCCCTGCTGCTTTAGGAGACTGCCACACTCTGTGCCAAGTTCTTGGAAAGAATACGGCATCTGCCCAGGAGACCGAGCAAAGCTGGCTGCACAGGCGGCCATCTGCAGGACACGTTCCAAATCCAGCACTTCTCTGGCTAACATCAACAGTTCTGCCCTTGCTCCAGCACCGAATGAACCATCCTTTTGATAAGGCAGCCAGCTCAAATTAGCTCCCATTTTTTCCATCCCGCTACCACCCCTGCCAGCTGCTCGGGCGACAGTCAAACTGTGCAAAACTACTCGGGTCTCCCATCTCAGCACCGAACTCGAGCATGCAAACATGCAAAGCACCGTTTGTCCCTTTATCAGGGACAAACCGCCTACTTTATCCCATTAAAAAGCAACCAAACCCGGGCAAGTGAACGCAGTCAAATCGGTCCCCAGACACAGCCAAAGCCAGGAAGGAGACAGACCCATGCAGCACTTTGCCAGCTGCCCACATACATTTGTCCTCCGCCGCCTACAGGGGCAGAAGGTGCCGACCGAACGCGTTGCCCGTCCGAGAGCGGCCTTCCCTTCCCGCTGCCACTGGCGCACCTGAGCGCGCTTTAGCACCGCGGCTTCACCCGCCAACACTCCAGCGCAGCTCAGCTCCATCAGCCCCTTCTCCACGGATTTCCCTCGATCCCTAGACAGCCCCAGCCCAAGGGAGCTCCACCGCCTGCAACACCAAAGGGCCGGCGGGATAAAACCCACACTCCGCCCGGTGCCGGCATGGCCGGGGGTCTTCGAGAGCCCCCAGGCCCGAAGGGAAAGGCTGAGCACAGCAGCGGCCGCCCGGCAAGAGCCCCCCGCCGTGCTGTTCAGCCCTCCCTGCGGAGCTGACGGTGGAGACGCGTGAGGGGAAGCGCGGCCTGTGCACCCCGGGAATGGCGCAGGGCCCGGGCGGCGGCAGCAGGAGGAGGAGGAGCAGCACCCCACACGTGCGGACGCTACCCGGAAGCGGAAGGAGCCTCACGCCAATGGCCCGCCTCCCGCCGAGCAGCCCGATAAAACACCGCCCCTGGACAGTTTAACCAATCGCTCCCACGGAGAGGCGAGATTGACAGAACCCTCTCCCAATGCAGCCGCAGCTGCTCTGTTCTCTCCATTAGGAAAGCGAAGCCACCTCAGGGTTGCTGGGCGGGACAGATCCCTCTGTGTCTCAGCACTATTGGTTGTGGGTGCTGATTGGCGGGTGTATGCGCCTATGCGAGGGAAGCTCGCCGGCGGCCCGTCGCGCCGTGCGCCAATGGGCGGGCGGTGCTGGCGCGGTGCGGCGGTGCCGGCGGCAGGGCGATGAGAGCGGCCGTGCGGACGGGGTGGCGAATCGGGGCCGCTGCCGCCGCTGCTCTGCGGGGCCGGGCCGGGCGCCCGCTTAGCCAGGCGGCCGGGGAGGGCGGCGGGGCTGAGAGCGGCGGCGGCTCGGGGTCGCGGGAGGCAGTGGAGCGGCTGGTGCGGGAGCACCCGGTGGTGGTGTTCATGAAGGGCAGCCCGGCACAGCCGCTCTGCGGCTTCAGCAACGCCGTGGTGCAGATCCTGCGGCTGCACGGCGTGGAGGATTACCGCGCCCACGACGTGCTGCAGGACCCCGACCTCCGCCAAGGTCAGCGCCGGGCCGGGCCGGGGTCACCTCTGGGTGCCGCCTCCCCGGGGCCTGTGCAGCCCAGGCCGGTTCCCCTGTGGGAAGGGCCCTCGGGAGGTGCCAGGAGGTCGGGCTTGTTTTAACGCCCCTGTGGGAGCAGCCTCTGCCACCTTGTCCTACCTGTAACTTGCCTCTTCTTGCTTTGTTGGGTGGGCTGGGTTGGGCTCTGTTCTTTTTTAATGAGGCCATCGTGGGGAGAGGGGCAAGGGAGCTGGGGAAGGGTCGGGAGCGCATGTCCTGTGAGGAGCGGCTGGGGGAGTTTGGCGGTGTTTAACCTGGAGAGGTGCCCATGGTATCTGGCACGGTGACTTTATTCTCTACAATTACATGAAAAGAGGTTGTAGCCGAGTAGGGATCGGCCTCTTCTCCCAAGCAACAAGCAACAGGACGAGAGGACAGTCGTAAGTTGTGCCGGGGGACTTTAGTTTGGATACTAAGAGAAATTCCTTCATAGAAAGGGTGATAAGTCATTGGGATGGGCTGCCCAGGGGCATGTTGGAGCGTCCCTGGAGACTTTTAAGGAAAGACTGGACGTGGCATGTAGTGCCATGGTCCAGTTGACAAGATGATGTTCAGTCATGGGTTGGACTCGATGATCTCAAAGGTCTTTTTTAACATAATTAATTCTGTTTGGGTGTTAGAACTAGAAGTGTATTGCAGAGATGTGCCATTGAAGTTGCTGCCCAAACGCCCTGGTGTGGTTTTTTTGTGACCCTCCCCGTGTTCAAGAGGTCTCAGTTATCAGCAGAGCACAGTTGTGTGTGCAGGGTGATGATTGGAGATCAGGCTCTTTGTGCCCCGCTGCCTTGCCTGGTTCAGAGATAGAGAGCTGCATTAAAGACCTCTGAAATACATAATTATCAAGTTTTGTCTTCCCTATGAACAGTATGGTGAAATTTCATGTATGGCTTGGACTTGTACTACTTGATTCCCAGTTGGTACTGCCTGTTGGGATTCTCTTAATAAAGTACAACTTTATGCTACTCATTTGCACAAGAAATACTTAGTAATAGTTTCACCATTACTGCACAAGTGCTAGTAGGTATTCTAGATCAAGTTTTTTTTCTGGTTGTGGAAAGCTAGTAATCTCTTCTGGTAATGCTTTTCATCTTTCTCTCTTCAGTGTGCATAGCTGACTGTTGAGGTTCTATGTGGTTAGTTAAGAAACTTTTAAAACAAAAAATATGTATACAAGTACATAGTAATTAGTCTTTTACGTGTGTGGCATTAACGGTTCTTGCCCAGAATACACTAAAATGTGCTGTAAGGCCATGTGCTGGCATGTATCAGGTGACTTTGTTCTCCTTTGTTTTTGGTGTCATCTGACTAACTCAGTTTTTCATTAGCTGCTAGCTAAAAGGCTGATTTTTCCAGTCCTTGTTTGCTTTTCAGTTCATTACTATAATATTGGTATGGTATAAAAGCTTAGATACTGGAGTTACTATGTAATGACATCTTTTGTTAATGAAGGTTGGTTTTGTTCAAGTAAATCTTCCACTGCCTTTGCAAGTGAACGAATCATGGTAATTTTCTAAACTTTGTTTACATATCTGAATTTATTTAATAAATTTACAATTTATTAATTGTACAGTTTACTAGAACAAAGTACTCTTACTCTTTACTAGAAAACCTCTTCCCCCAACTCAAAATTAAAAGGAGGAAAGAAAACCCTGAAATCAAGCCATCAGCATTTCACTTTTGGTTGAAGGGGCTTTTGTGAGCCTCTGAATGGGCAGTGCATTTATAAATTATAGTCTCTGAGCACTTGACCATGTGAATAGATATTATTTTCTTCCTGTATAACTTAATTTTTTCATCCACATGAACTTGAGCTTGTGCTAGGTAATGAGAGGGATTATTGCCCTCCTGGCTACCAAGACCTTTAAATTGAAATAGTGTCTTGATCCAGCCCTCCAGTGTCTAAGCTGCATAGAATGCAGTTATGGAGTACCCTTGCACAATATCCTGCTGGTTCTCAGGTGCTTAAAGAAGTTGTTCTGTTCCTTTCTATGCACCAGCTGTGGCACCTGCCCAACTGTGCAGAGGCCAGCTCAATTTATTAACTGGATCACTGGGCCTGCAAGTTGAAGTATCAGTTTGTACTGAGCTGAGTGCCAGAGCCAGCATGAAGAATGGAGCTTTGAAGAGTTGTGGAACGACACAGCCGTTTTCCAGGGTAGCAGAATTCTTGTACTGCTTCAACTGTATTACCTACTGCACCCTAAAAAAGCCAGGATGTGCCTGCTTCTGTGGGTGGCAATCTCTGACAGAGGAGAGGACAAGGCTGCTCAAAGTTGTAGTTCTCTAAATCGCCAATTGTATTTTAGCAGTGACTGCCTGAAGGCCAGGATCTGGCCTCGAGTGCCAGACAGTTAGATAGGCAGCATGTGAGCCTTTCTTAGGCTCTCTCTGTGAATGTAATCTGCACTGCATGCATGGGGGCTAGTGAGGGGCTGTGGAACATTTAGCTGTGAAAGTATCAAGTGCATCAAAAGAATCATCTGCAAGGAGCTTGCTGTAGGAGAGCTGGCCACAGCTTTGTGTTCACCTAAACCTAGCTTCAATGTTTGAATATATGTGTGCTTACACATTTGTAGTAGGGGCAGGCTGTTGGAAAAAGGGTATGTCTGGATTGGTTGTTAATTTCTTTCCTGTATCTATTATTTTAATCACCTTATTTTCAGCTAGTTACAGTTCATTTGGTGAAACAAACCCCCTGCTAAAATATGGCAAGATGTAAAGCTAGAACAACTCTCCTGCTTGCCTCTTTATCTAAAAACTCAGATCTGTGAAACTAAAATTATTGATATTTCACATGATCTATCTGAACTTTAGCTGAAGATACACTTCCCTGACAAATCCTTCCTTATCAAAGATGGTTTAAGAGACCTTGGCACTCTCTTGGGCCCCATGGCAATTCATGTTTCTCTAAGCTGGCTCTCAGCTGATGGACAGCGTTAGACTGGTCCCAGACACTGAGGCAGAGATGTTTGGGATTGCATACTGGAAAACTGGTGGGTTGAACTGTTGGGGTAGTTCACCCTCAGATTATTTTCTTTGTTGTCTCCACATTATCTAAGCATGGCATGCTTCCAATCAGGTGTTCTTGATCCTTTCTCCCACCCTGGGCCAGCCTTCCCTCAGTAAAGCTTGTATCAGTGCTAATGGTACTCAGGCTTTGAAATAGGCTGCACAGGGAAGTGTTGGAATCTCCGTCCCTGGAGGTGTTTCAAAGGCATGTGAATATGACACTTGGGAGTATGATTTACTGGTAAATGATGGTGCTGAGTTAGCAGTTGGATTTTATGATCTTAGAGGTCTTTTCCAACCTTAATGATTCTGTGATGTAGATGAAAACGTGTTGCTTTTCTGGAGCAAGTATGGTAGGAATGAGTTCCTTCATTCAGTTCTTTGATATAGCCCGTCCTTCATTAGTGCTAGTGCTGCCGGGAGGGGCTGGTAACTGGAATTGGTAACTGGAGCTGGGGAGAGGGGTGGGGAGTGTGCTGGGTCCCCCTTTCAGTAACTCTTTGCACCAAACCTGGTTTCACAGTTACCTTAAATGTGCTACCACAGCTGTCAGACTGAGCCCCTGACCCGTTGAGTGTGTTTTTCCAAAGTAAACAGCAGTTCAGAGCAGAAGCTGCAGCTTCTGAAGTACAGCAAGGAGCCAGTCTGCAGAGAGGGGGGATGGAAAATCCCTTGGGATTTCCAAAAGAATCATAACAAACGTGCATCCTGCGTGCAGCAAGCATAGCCCAGGCTACCTTGCTTTAACATGGCTGCAGCAGTGTCAGTAAATGCTGCACTGAGGTGAGGCTTGGGTGGCCAGTGGAGGGAGTGTTCAGTTTGTGACCTGAGACAGCCCCAGCACAGAGGCATTTAAAGCAGCTTGTCCAGCATGTGAAATGTAGCACGCAGAGCAGCTGAGCTTGATGGTATTCTTATTTTTATCTGGATAGGTCCTTGAAACTACTATCAGTGCTTATATGTATGTGCAGTTTGGTCCTTGAAGAAAATATTTCTATGAAAGAATTATTGGTGTAAATATTACCTTGGAATGCTCATTAGCAGTCGGTTTATTATACAGAGCCCTTGGTTTTCAATTCATGTTTAGCATTGCAGTATCTTATGAAAAAACAAGCTCTTTCATGTCTGCAGTGGCTCTTTGACCACGGTCGTCCTTAGGCATGTCTTTAATCATGGAACACAGTTTTTCATTGAAACTTCGATGGGTTGAAAGATATTTAGGACATTTTAAGCAGTTTCGAGTACTCAAAGGCCAAAGAGCATTTAAGAAAATATTGCTAAGTGCAAGTTGATATCAAAGCTTAGAAGTTCTGCAAACTAAGGAAGAAGTTACAAGTGATGATAATGGAGGTTAGGTGGTTATGGGTTCTCTTTGACCTTGATTTATATGCTAAACTTTCTATTTTGGGCTTATGGAACATTGGTTGTCCATGCACAAAATCTGAATCAGAATAAAATGTCTTGGCTGACATATGTCGTGGTTAGGAACACTTAGTCACAGCAATCTTTTTTTTAGGTTAATATTATTTTAGTGGATTTTTTTAAAGCATGTTATATTTTGCTAAGGGGGGGGGAATTATTAGCTATATTGCATCTTTTATACATTAAAGTAACAATCTCACTGTGTATTTTTGCACTTACACATACTTAATGAAAAAGAAAGTGGTTTAAGTTCCAATAAAGCAAGCATAATTTCCTTACATGGTTATTTTTTTTCCTTGAGTATTTTGGGTTTTGCCTTTTTAGTCTCTCGAGACTAAAAGGTTTTCTAAGGGGAAAACAAGTTCTCTTGTGCTATCAGCTACTCAGGTCTAATATTTGTTATTGGGAGATTGGCTTCCAAGGTGAGTGGGCTCTGATGTTCTGAAAAGGGACCTCTGTAGACTTCAGTTTGCTATATGGACTTTCATGCCTTTGGCAGAAAAATTACAGGCACTGCATGTTGAAAATACATAAAAACGTTGAATTCAAAACTTGTCATCTAATCAAATTTTTGTGGTTGTGTTATAAAAATAGGCAGCAGTAGATTTTAACTATTTCCTCTGTCACAGAAATAATGGCTTTCTGTGAAAGGTCATTTAAAAAATGGCAAATTAGGTAGAAGATTCTTCTGTATAATTTTTCGTGTGATGTCTAAGTACAAGCTGGTTTCAGTGTGTATCAGCTGATCAGTTTATATTATGGGTGGTCTTACATTTTCCTTCTGTGCAGTATAGTTTTAAACTTTAATTCTGTACTTCATAATTGTGACTTGACCTGTGTTTTGTTAAATGAGTATTTTTAAAGAGACTTCAGCCTTTGTGCCCCTCCCATGTGCTGTAAGGTCTGGCACTGAAAGATAAAGGAATTTGAAATTCGTAAGGCCTTTACAGAGGCAAATGTATCTTGCAATTGAAATTGCAGGAATATGTGTAACTGTATGAGTTCAGTAAGAACATAAAATATTTTAAAGTCCCTCTGGGAAATATAACAGAAAGTAAACAGTTCTCAATATTTTTCAATACTTCTCATTTCTGTAATTGATTGAAAGAGTGATGTTTTCTTGGGAGTAAAAAGAGATGCAGTGTTTTTCCAGTTCCTGCTTGAAGTTAGTATAGGAGCTGACTCCATATCTTTCAATCCACATCTTTGAGTTGTAGTGAGAAACAAACTTAACTCTTAACAGTTTGTTTTTTTTTTCTTTTGTGATATTGCTCCTTTTACATAGATATCTTTTTTGTCTTTATGGGAAAGAAATTCAAATATCCGTGGTAGATTCAAGTGGAAGCAATGCATTCCTTTAAAAATACCATTCTATTAGGAGAGGGGGGAAGCCTCTAATAATTTTTTTTTTCTTATTCAGGAATAAAAGACTACTCCAACTGGCCTACCATCCCACAAGTGTACCTCAATGGTGAATTTGTTGGTGGCTGTGATATACTCCTCCAGATGCATCAGAATGGAGATCTTGTAGAAGAGCTGAAGAAACTAGGAATCCGTTCAGCGCTTCTGGATGCAGAAAAAGACCAAGAGAAAAAGTAAAATGAGCGACAAAATAGCTGTGATGGGAATACAGCAAATCTTCAATAAGAACTTGTTACCCATAAAGCCTTACATACTTTAGGTCGAGGAAGGCATCTGTCTGAACTGACACTAAGTGAATGTCTCTTAGCTCATGGTAAATGTAGTGATCTTGGTATTTTGATTTATGGGTATCGTGAAATTTTGTGTATAACCACTGCACTGTAAAGCAAACGTTTGTGAACATTTGTGTTTTAAAAAAGTTCACTTCTAAAAGCGCTCTTCTTCATTGAGGTGGGAGTAAACCAAAAGAACGAATAATATTTTTATGGATTTTACGTGTGTGATTCTCTGTTCTTTGATACCTGAACCTATACAAACAGCATTTGCATTCCCTTGCTTCTCTTGAAAAAGCATTAAGTAATAGTGCATCTGTTTTTCTGTTTAATTCCTGGTGATAAGAGTTCCTGAGAGCCTGTAAAACCTGTGTAATCACATACAATATAGGAGAAAAACAGTTTTCCAACAATATAGGAGAAGAAAAGATTCTATGAGAGAGCGTGAAATATACTTTTATTCCAAAGGGCAAAAATAAACAGAACTTGTACAAATACATATAGTATTAGTGGTCATTATTACTTTGTAACTTTCTGATGGCTTTTAAAACTGCTAAGAATTGTGCCTAAATATTTTATAAAAACCTTTTCTACCTCTTGCAAAACAGCTTTTCCCCCTGCTTATATGCTTTATGTATGACAGTTCAATGTCAGTGCTAAAATGTGGGAATTGTTTTAAGACTTTAGTATTCTAGCTTGAAATAGTAAAGGACAATACTTCAATTATTACTGTAATCCTGTATTATTTGCATGTTATCTTTTTATATTTGTTGTGTTTCCAAATGTCTTCTCCTGACTGATGAGCTCAGGAGAATGCAGTCTTCAAACATGGGATTTACAGATTAAAAGTTCATATGGGTAAGATGAGTACAGCAGAGAGGTTACTGAATAGATAAATATTTCTTCGTGAAAAGTCTCTGAAATGTTCAGTACCTACCTAACCACATTTCTCTAAATGAAAACAAATTATATTAACCAGTGTAGCTTCAGCTCTACAGCAATACTAAGGTTAAAAGCTAACCAAGCTATTTTAAAATGGTTAGCTTTTAACCAAACCAAGCTATTTTAAAATGCAGTTTAATTAATATAGACCAGTCTGCATGTGAATTAGGCAAATGATTGGAAATAAACTCTGTTTGCAGTTGCAGTTTGTTTGTAGTTGCTCTTTATTTTAAATGTCTCATGAAACTGATACTACTTTTGATTTGAAGCCTAAGATGTTTTCCACTGCATGGGATATAAAATGTGTTCTGGAGAAAGAAGAAATTATAAATGGTCGGTGAAAGATGAGAACAGGACTGGAGCCTGTAGACAGAAGAGTTCTGGTTCTAAATCTCTCCTGCCCACTTGAGCAAGCAGTGGAGAAACTATACTAGAACATTCTGCACAGGATTTGCCGACCTGATAACAGTAAGCTTACAGTATGGCTGTAATGCAAACAGGGTCAGCAGGATTTGATGCAGTGTGTGTGTTGTGTGTATTCACTTGGTCACCACAGCAGGTCTGAGGAGGTCACTGTGTGACCACTGTGTAGGACAGTCACTTGTGACTGTAAGGCACAGAGGCAAGATTTTCTTCTGTTCATGTGCCATATCACATCATGCAAAGTTTAAGGTATTGATGAAGGTTTGTTCTGAGCATTTGAATTCAGATAAAATAAATTTTCTTATGGCTAATCACAAGTAGATTTTGCCATTCTGAATTTAAAACAAGTTTTACATTATCTAAACAACATATTTAGAAAAAGAAGTAAATTTCAAAAGTCTTCGGTTATTTGTGTAAACCTTTTGAAATTATTGTATGCAGTAAACAAAAAGGTAATGAAGAAAATTTAATTATTTTCTGCTTCAATAGTTAACTCTTAGTCTGACAACTGAAAAAATCTATTGAAAAAAGAATCCCCCAAATTTGCTGTTGCATAGCTCTCCAATACTGAATATTTTTCAGTAATATCTGCCAGCAATTTAACATAAAGAGAACTTCAGCATTTTCAGGTAGTCTTTATCCTCTGCACAGCAAAATTTTTCACCCAGCATGAGTTCCTGCTTTTGAAAACCATGGAAGTTTTTCTACTTTTTCTACTTTCTTCTGCACTTTAGATTTTAATTACTTGATTAAACCTTTGTATAACATATATAGTAGTGTTTATATCAATCTCTACCTGACTGGAGCATGTTATTGAGCAAGTAAAAGCAACAGCGATTCCATAAAGTGTGTGTGACAAAACCACAGTGGGGAATGAAACTGGGACTTCTGCCTGCATCCCCTTGCAAGCTGTACATTTCCAGCCAATGTGTGCATGAGGAGTCCTTTTACGTTTATAAAAATGTTCATGTTAAACCAGCTGCAATAAAAGAATTACCATCTACTTAAATTGTAAACGTCAGATGCTCACAAAGAGCTTTATTTTGTTGTTGGTTAAGAGTTTTTCACCAAGAAACTAGTTCTAGGGAATCATTTTAGAAGATGGGCAGTATTGTGCACTCTGCTCATCATCCTCTGCTGTCCCTCAAACTAGAGGCAAAAGGGAGCACGTGCTTCCAATCCCAAAGGGATGCCACAGATAAACTGATTTTTTTGAGGTAAAAACCCGTGCCTCTTGAGGAGAAATTTACACCTGCTGTTCTCATGCTCTTAGGCAGTGGGGGAAGGCACCTGATAAATACTGGAGTATGGGGTGACAATCAGTGAGTGTGCTGAGCTAATACTGGGGGGCTGGTGCCAGCTGGAAGGATCCATGAGGAATCTTTGGTCAGGAGGATGTGGCAGGTTCTGCAGAGGAAAGGGTAACTTTTTTCTCCCCAGGAGGAGCAGCTTGTCACAGGAGGTGAGGGAGGGGATGGAGGAAGCAGCTACAGCTGCTTGTTCTTCCTGGATTCCTCTGCTGTAAAGTGATGACCAAACAGGTAAAAAAGAGCATGCCTTGGAGAGACCGACTGAAGTTGCTGAGGACAGCCAAGAGGAAAAATGGGGACCTGCCCATGCCATCTTTGGTGAAGAGAGAGGGAAAACTGCCTGGTCTTGAGTTGGTTCTGCTGTGGTGAGGATAGGGCAGGCAGCAGGGCTGTGCAAAAGCGTGGCCACCTGCAGGGCTTCTATGGATCAAGGTTGGGTGTGTGGAGCTGCCAGTCCCATTCCTGCCCTTTGTATTTTTATGTGTTGTGCCAGGCAGGAATTCCAGCTGGCGATTCTCCTCTGGTGAGATGCTGCTGCGTCTATCTTGGTTGGATTGCCCTGCTGAAAGCTTACAGTGAGATAATTATGAATGCATGTAAACTTATGTGAGATTTTTATTATAAGGTTGTAGTATGAGCATTTGCCAAACTGGAAACCATTACCATAATTATTTACATTTTATTCTGAGGCTGCCCTTGGTGTTGCTGCTGTGTTAAAACGCTGAATTTGATAGCATAAGGTTAAAATGTTTCTAAAAATCATGGGAACTGCATATAATAGATTCGGGGGTTGGAAAGGAAGATTGGGTCTTGTAGGCCTGGGAAAGGGAGCTAGGCCCTGGGAACAAATATTGAGCTTTGTTTATTTCTAGATCATGTGAAGCTACACCTGCGTAATCATTATATGATAAATGATATGATAGTTAAATGTAACGATTGTTTGGTAATTGAATATGATTATTGTTTAATCTTAATAAGAGTCATGTGAAACAATGTAATCGTAACAAGAATCATGAGAAAGAATATTTGGGGGGACCTAATGAAAATTATAAGAATATATGCTTGGATAAAATCAATATATATAGTACACAATAGAACAGTATGGGTTTAATAATTAATACATAGTTATATAACGAAAAGGGTATAAAAACATGTTCATCTTGGATCCATGTCAGCGTGACATTTGGGTCTGCACCCCTGATTCCCAGAGCTCTTCAATAAAGCACCTGCATATAATCATTCTGTGATTATGTGTTTTCAACGCTATCAAACTGAGTGGGCCAACCTATCCCCCGGATCATAAACTGTGATAATCTTTTCTATTTTCTAACACTTCACACCTCTCTGATATGAAACAAGGTGCTTTGGTTTAAGCAAATGAGATTGTTCCTATTCCAAAGCTGATCTACTGTTTTAAACTTTCACTAAAGTATGAGGTTTCTTTGCTCATCTTGAACTGGTCCTGGTGAGGAGCAGAAGGGAAGCACGTTGCAAATACTTGCTGTTATGCTGCTAATTTTGTATTGGGAGCATTAAAATCAATTAACACAAAAGTTGTTTTCCTGAGAAAACAGCTGTTAACAGCTCAGGGCATATTAACAGGTTACACAGCAAGTGTGTTACTCAGCCCTAATGACTTGCCTTAATTTTGCTAGCAAACGTTTGGTCATGGTCAATATTCTTCATTGTCTGCTCTGAAAAAGTAACTTTATATCATCTAAATGCCCTGAAATACTTAAGTGCCTTTATTTTCGGTCTGACAAACATATCGGCTTATTTTCATGTTCTCACTGAGTTCTCTGGTTCTCTAAAAAGTAGGCTAGAAATCTTTGGCGGGACTTGTCTGAGAGTCTGTCAATACTAACAAATTGCATAGAAAACAATCAAGCTTGAGAACATGAAATCGAAAAACTGTACCAAGGAAAATCTCTCCTGAGATGCCACCAAGAATCTCAGTAAGACCCTGGCAATGTCTGCATCTAAGAAGGGCAGTATTAAAAAGCATAGCTGGCAACCTGATCAATAAGTCCTTGTCCAATCTAATTTGCATGTCCCTTCTACAGAAACCAGATCTTCTTACACAGGGTTGTTCAATATCCGTATTATAGGACTGTGGGAGAAAAAACCACTCATTAATTACAAGATAAGTGTCTCCTGTAAGTTAAGGAATCTGTGAGCAAAGGTAAAGAAAGTGGAAAGGGATTGTTAATGCCGTGTGGTAGGTCAAGCTTGCTTTTTGACTGAAAGAGTTGAGATGAACACACTGCTCTGTAAAGGGTTGTGGTTCATTATCTGGTTTTGGCTTTTTCTTTGGGATGCTGCTTGTTTCATTTAATAGCTCTGTCAAAGCAGTGCTGTCTGTAATGTGACCTGGCTATGGAAACTCCTCACTGATTTAAATACTTGAGGCCTTTCTTGTAATCTCCCAGGGAAAGCAAGTTTTAGTTACACAGAAAATAGGACTAAAATGGCTAAGTGGATTCAGGATTTATTTTCAACAAATTTTTTTTTAATCATCCAGCTTCTTGTTATGCCTTGTTTCTCTGAAAGTAAGGGAGTCGGCCAAGAGCAAAGGGTTTTAGTTAGACCGTGTTACTCCATAAAATCCATGGGAGTCATAGGGTGTAACAGAGGAATGCACAGTTCTGTATGTAATCAACAAGCATTTGTATCTTCCCAATTTTTGAGGATCACATCAATTGGACCATAGAAAGGATGGCAGAACAGCAGGCTGCTGGCTTACACTCCCCTTTCAAGAAGAAACAAAACCCTTTAAGGGTGACTTTTATTCTCAAATAACATTCATGTTTTAAGACCTTTAGAATCAGAGTAAATAAACAAATAAACATCCTTAAAGATGGAGGAGGTCACTAGAAACGTTCTTCTAGCTGTAGAAATACATGTTGTGATCTCCAAAGGACCTTGTTTACCTTAAGTACCTGAAGGTGGTGATGGTTTATAATTATCTAAGAAGAATCCAAAGGCCAAGTTCAATATGAATTTTGAAACAACTTTGCCACTAAAAGATGCTAATTTAGCAAACAACAGGGA